GTGCTGCTGTCAAAGGTCTCTTTTTGGGGCTCTCTGGTTTTTACTGGTCTTGTGGAGGTGTTCAGTGGGAAGACAGTGAAGTGCTTGACTCTGCTGAGTGCCCACCATCTCTGCCCTCCAAGTACCTGTTCCCTTGGGAACCAGATCCATTGGAATGGAGAAAGGAATAACATCAGAGTCAGGAAACCTCCAGCCCGTGTCCAGCGGCCGCTCCGCTGCCAGGGCAACTCTTCCCTTTGCACTCCTTTTCCACTGTCCAGGTTAATTTATCTCTCAACAGTCACACAGCAATGCCCCACCTCCCCTTTGCTCACCGATATTTTTGGCCTGTCCTCTTGTCCCCATGAGCTGTCACTGACCGAAGCCAGACAGATTTAGCTCTTCTCATCTTTCCTGGTGAGTCAGTGCCTCCAGCTCCTGCTCCTCTGTGTCCCAGCTGTGTGCACCCGAGGTGATCAGAATCCCAGAATCATTTGGGTTGGAAAAGACCTCCAAGACCATCGAATCCAAGCTCTGGCCAATCCCCACTTTGTCACTAGACCAGAGCACTGAGTGCCACATCCAGGCATTTCTCGAACTCCAGGGACAGTGACTCCACCTCCCTGGGGAGCCCCTTCTGCTGCCAGCCACCCTTTCCAGGGAGAAGTTCTTCTGATGGCCAACCTGAACCTTGGGGCTCTGATGTGTCCGTTGTGAAGTGACACCTTATGTTACACTGACTGAATGTGCTGTCAGTGTAAAGTGATGGAGGAGGAAGGGCTTTCTCTGGGGCTTGGGGGGGCACAGACCTCAGCAGGACACAAGGATCGTTTCCTGGTGGGTGTCCAGCTCCTGGCAATCTGTGGATCAGGATTTCTGTTCATGCCAATGTATGAGGCACCGTGGAACTGCCATCCATGAAGTTATCTGATTTCTCCCATCCCTTTTATACATTGCAGTTCCACAGAATTTAGTGGCAATAAATTATGTAATTTACTAGAACTTTATGTTAAAAAGTATTTTTTGCGTTAGATATCCTGTTGAATTCCATTGAATATCCCTAATTCCTTTGTGGTTACAAACATGGAACAATCATCTTCTATAAAATTATTAATGGAATAAAAAGATAAAAAGGGCCTGCCCCCCCTCCCCACCTCCTCTCATACAGAACTATTTCAATTCTGTCTGATTTGAAGTAAGATCAGGCCTGATGCATCTCAGCAGAACCCAGATGATTCTTCCCTGATGACTCTTACGTGGTTCCTGGCTTGTGCAATACACACCTGAGCCAGCATCAGGCAGTGCCAGTGCCAGGTCTTGGATCACAGCTTCCATGTTTCACACAAGTCTGCTTAGTGAATCTTCACTTCGTCAGCCAAGTCTAGAGTCTTGTCAGAATAAAATAATCTGGGCTTTGAGGGATCTGATTTTCATGAGAGCTATTTCTGTGCCTGGTAAGAGCCACACTTGTTCCTCAGTTACTCCTCTGGAATGGTCGCTGGATGAGGAGCTGATGGTTACAGGCATCTGGAGTCTCTCAGTCCCTCAGCACAATGTAAGTACTGTCTTGGGGTAGCAAGAGACCAGAATTTTGGAAATGCTCTATAAGCCTCTCAGAGATCTCAGGCAGTTGTTTGGACTCATGGGCACAAGTTGTCCAGTCCTTTTGAATTTTGAAAAGATTATTGATGATATTATAAGTGGATTCTTCAGCTGCTGTTTCAGTGGGATCCCTCACCTTCATTGTGATACGTGTCCATCATCACGTGTCTGTCCCTACACAAATCCAAAGTGTTTATTGCAGTTTCCTGTGTCACTGTCACAGTCTCATTTAAAGTTTCAGGGGCTGTAAATGCAGGGATTGGACACTTAAGTCATGGAATCATTAAGGTTGGAAAAGACCATTAAGATCATCAAGTCCAACCATCAACCCAGCACTACTACCATGTTCACCACTAAACCATGTCCCCAAGTGCCACATCCCCATGTTTTTTGAACACTTCCAGCAATGGGGACTCCATCACTACCCTGGGCAGCCTGTGCCAGGCTGGGACAGGCCTTTCTGGGAAGGAATTTTCCTGATATCAGACCTAAACCTCCCCAGGTGCAACTTGAGACCACTTCCTCTAGTCCTGGCCCTTGTTCCCTGGGAGCAGAGCCTGACCCCCACTTGGCTCCCCCCTCCTGTCAGGGACTTGCAGAGCCAGAAGGTCCCCCCTGAGCCTCCTTTTCTCCAGGCTGAGCCCCCTGAGCTCCCTCAGCTGCTCCTGGTGCTCCAGCCCTTCCCCAACTCTGTTCCCTTCCCTGGACACGCTCCAGCCCCTCAGTGTCTTTCTTGTCACGAGGGGCTCGACAGTGACCCCAGTTATGTGCATCCCCATGTACAGTGAGTTACAAATCAATGCCATGGTTGGCAGAAACTTGCTGTCTTCTCTAGCCCTTGAACCCACGAGTGCATGTGGAGGAAGTCTTTCAGCAGCTCTGAATTACAACAGCTCCAAGCTTTGTCTCGGGGATGGGATGTGTCTGCTGTGCCTCTGACAAATCACAGGAGTCCCCAGCAGGCAGTTGCACAGCAGTGAATTTGGACTGTCCCAGGTCTGTTGGGCAATGCCCAGGTGTCCCTGGCTGCTACTGGAAAGTGAGTCTGTCCAGGTGTGCAGCACTTCTGGTGCCTCCAGAGCAGTGTATACAGTTATTCCCTGAAAGGTGGGAAATCTTGCAGGATCAAAGGAATCCATTCACAGAGAAGCTGGGGCTGCCCCATCTCTGGAAGCATTTGAGGGCAGGTTGGGCGAGGCTTGGAGCAACCTGGTCTGGTGGAAGGCATCCCTGCCCATGGCAGAGGGTGGGACTAGGTGGTTTGGTTTTTGGTCCCTTCCCACACAAACCATTCCATGATTCCGTGTTAAAGGACAGCTGTACTAAAAACTGGATGCAAACTGGGTTGAGGTGGCCCCAGTCCTTGCTTGATGTGTCCTTGGAGAGACACAGGCAGGACTGAGGGGAGGAGGTGGAAATGCTTCCTGGATCATGTTTGGTGCCCTTGGTGAATGGGTTCCCAGTGGGAGCTCAGCGAGGGACGGCGGCTCGAGGCTGTCGTGGCAGCTTTTGCAATTTGCCCACTTCTCTCACAGCAGCATTTTCCCATGAAGGGCTGGACCTTGTCTGTCTGGGGGAACAAGGAACTCAGGGTTTGCTGCCCACTTCATGAAGGTTTGTCCTTTCTGCAGCAGGTTTTGGTGGGGAGCAGCACAGATCAGTTGTTACATCTGAGATGGGCTGTGGGTGGATCCCTAGCTCTGGGGGAAAAATACACAAGGAGGAAAATGCCCAGGAAAGAGCAATGGCAGAGAGGGAGCTGAGCTGTCCCTGTTGGGGGGTAGCTCTGTGTTGTGGCTCCAGGGTCAGTCCAATATCGTGGCAGTCCAGGCAGGTCTGGAGCAGCCTTAGGACAGAGGAGCTTTGGAGAACAAATAACTTCTGGGTTCAGTGCAAGAAGCAGACTGGCCTGTAATGTGAAGGGCCATTATAGGCTGCTGGATCCAAGACCTTCCTGCTCAGGTTCACATTCACATCAGTTACTCTTTGCATAGTTCAGACAAATATCCACCGGTTCGGTTCCTCACCACACTGGTTCTATGGTAAAACTGGTTTGCCTGGGGAGTTTGAAATCTTCTTTCCAACCTAAATATATTTACATCCACTTGAAGCCAATTGAAGCTGCTGTTGTCTCAGTGTCTTTAACAAGTCTGGTTCCTGCTTGGTGTTTTGCTTTTCAGTATACACAGATGGACAGAAGGTTCTTCCCCCTCGGGCCAGTTGGCTTTTCTGACGGGTTTCCCCATGTTTTTGGTCTGGTTTCCTGAATGTGTGAAATCAGGGAGTTTGCAGTTTATCTTTCAGGCAGTTTACACAGTCAGCTTCCCGTGCAGCTGGAAGTGACTTTCTGTGACCAGTGACGTTGTACAGTCCTCAGTCCTCATCAGAAGTCATGATCCTGTCCCATGGATTCAGGCACTAAGGAGAACCATCAGCTGTCTTCCTGGGAAATACCAGGATCCTGCTATTAGACTATTCTGTAATTCTTGCCTGGAGACCTGGTTTTCCATCGTCTGTAGAAGTTTTTGTGTTAAATACAGAATCACAGAATCTCCTTACCACCAGGGTCATCAGGTCCAGCTCCTGGCCCTGCACAGGACAGTCCCAAAATCCCACCATGTACCTGAGGGCGTTTTCTGAGTGCTCCTTGAACAACACAAATGTGAGTCTCTAGAGCATTTCTGAAATCCAGTGAGTCTGGAAGGAAAAATGTGGATTTTGTCATTAGTTCCTGGAAGGCTTTGTCACGTAAGAAGCGTTTGTCTGGTCTGGAGCTGGTTTGAGTTGGGCTGTCGAGGACACGCAGTGCTGTCTCGTCACTACCCCATTTATGTCTCACCTTGATAATCCTTGTCTTCCAGTATTCACCCAGTCTCTGGGTCTTGCACTGGAGATGACAGACTGGCAGTGGGTGTGGAATTGAGGATTTCCATAGGAAGATCCCAGAGCATTCTGCTGTGCTGTTGACTGGGTGCCAGAGGAACTGGCAGGGCACACCTCAGTTTGGTTCTTGCTTCCTTCAGTGGGTTTTTGGTTTGGTTTTTGGTTTAAACACAGCAGAATGTGAAGCTCCTCAGGCTTTTGCTTCTATCATTGTAGAGGTGAGGGGGGGTTGGAAGGGAGGGGTTAAGGAAGGCAAGTCTCCTGCTCCCTTTGCTACCCATGCTGTGGCCACGTGAAGCTGACAGACACTCGACTCCTCTGCAGCAGCTGCTCTCCATCCTGGGCCTTGTTTCCAGAGAGGTGACATCTGGAGGACAGCAAATTTGATTCTCACCAGGAGTCTGTGCATGTTTCTGTCTCTTACCTCACCAGCTCCTTGGTCCTTGACCCTGAGAGAGTCCTGTCTGTCCTGTTCCTTTTCCTGTATCCTACCACATGCTCCCTGTCTTCCTTCTCATGACTATGGCAATGTGAATGGTTCATGCTGGTGTCCTGAATAGAAGCAGCTTCAGGTCAAGTTTGACCAGCTATTGGCAATGCACATAATTGGGTATGTAGAGGTGGGAGGCAGGAAGGAGAAGAGACTTCTGGATTGCTCAGCTGCGACCCTGAGCAGCGGGGCAGAGGAGAGCAGAGGAAGGAGCCCGCTGGACAGAGCAGATGGGTTTTTTGGAGTCATGTGTTGATTTCCATCAATACAGCAAAGCCAAGTATCCATTCAGAGTATTCTGGACGAAGTGCCCTCCTTGGCATTGCACACTACACCGGGGTGACCTGGAATCCCCCAGTGGCACATGGAATTACACCTAAAGGGAGCCCTGTGGTAGAGCCGGGCTGTGATGTGAGCCAGCTGGTTCTGTGATCCAGTCCCAGCCCAAGGCTGCCCAGTTTGCTCTGTGGTGGAATGTCCTTCCAATGTGTCCACTGTGGGCAAACTGACTGTTGGGTCAGGACTCAGCCACAGCAAGGGATTTGTGTGTTTCATGTGTTGTGACAGTGGTGCCTCTGAGACACGGGTGCCACGGCTCGCTCAGAGGTGCCACG